TGGTCGCTCCGCAACCCCTTCTCCTCCATTCTCCTCTCAGGATCTTGGGCACGCACACACACGCGCCCTGAGTGAGTTTAAGCCACTGGGTCCGGACGCGAACCGCAGTCGACTACGTAGGAGTCCAGCGACATAGCCATTACGCTAACTGCTGGTCCCTGGAGGTTTGCTTTCTAACTACCCCCCCACCCCACCCCCATCGCTCTCTGGTCAAATTTAAATGAATGAATGTAAGTTTTTTGTTTTTTTTTTAAGTTTTGGGGGCTAGCAGGTGGTGTGGTGTGGTGGTGAAGAGCGTTGGACTCCCACATGGTCAACCATAGTTTGAATCCTGGACCTGGTGGCTTACTTTCTCTATACCTTTCTCTTGTTCTCACTATTGCTCTTCACTCTGTCCCTCTCTGGTCAAATTTAAATAAAGTTAAATAAAAAAATAATTCTTAAAAAAAAAAAAAAGTTGGGGGCCAGCTGTGCCTGGTGGTTAAGATGGCTGGATCTCACATGGCTGACAGCGTAGTTCAAGTACCAGGCCCAGTGACTTGAGGACCATGCTGGGCGTGTGTGGCAGTGCACTCAAAATTCAGACGGGAGGGCACAGATGGAGAAGGGACTGCAGTGTGACCATGCCCCATGGGGTGCCTTATTGTTCTTCCCCGCCAGCATAGTGACCTCAAGTGCCCTCTGGCAAAAAGAAAAAAAAAAAGTTTGTGGGCCAGCCCGCAATAATGGTTACCTGAGCTGACTCCTCACGGCAGCCACGGTTCAAACCCTGGCCCAGGTGGCTTTCACATTAGGTGCATATGCATGCATGGCCCAGATCCTGACGCGATGGAATGACGGAGAAGGGACTGCAGCCTGCCTACACCATGCTGGGGACACGTTCTCCCTGTTTCTCTGGCAAGAACATACACTCTTTGGCAACTAAAACCATAAATCTAGGGCTACCAGGCGGCATGGTGGGTAAGGAGTTGTACTCCCACAAGGCCGACCCTGGTCTGAGTCCTGGACCTGGAGGCTTGCTTTCTTACTTTCTCTCTGGAGAGCACGTGTCCTACGGCAAATTAAAAGGTAATAACAAATAAGATGAAATGATTCTTAAAAGAAGAATGTGTAGAGCCAAACTATAACATGTACTGCTAAAGACACCGTCTAACTGCACGATTCTATGACGGTAGCTAGAAATGGCTAAACCCACTGAGGACTACTGTCCGAGAATGAAATCAGTGGGGCAGGGTTGGCAACTCCCCAACACAGAAAACACACATAGCCAATAAGCTGAAAACTTGCCAAGCCTTACTAAATAAATAAATAAATAAATAAAATGACCTAATTTGGGGGCCAGCAGGCAATGTGGTTAATGGCACTGGACTCCCTGATGGCAGACTACAGTTCGAGTCTTAGATCTGGAGGTTGCTTTCCCACTTTCTCTCACTCTCACTGTCCTTCTCTGGTCAAACTAAATAAAGTTAAATAAGATAATTCTAAGGGACCAGCAGTTGGCATAATGGCCATGTCGCTGGACTCCTATTTAGTAAACCACGGTTTCAGTTCCAGACCAGGTGCCTTTAACTCACACCAGGCGTGTGCGCACGCTCATGTGTGTGTGTGTGTGTGTGTGTGCCTAAGATCCCGAGATAATAGAGAGGGGACTGTGGTGTGGCCATCCCCCTTGGGGGATGATTTCTCACTGTCTGTTTCTGTCTTTCTGGCCAGCGCGTGCGCCCTGTAACAAAAGCTTCTCCCCCCAAAAAACCCTAATCTGTTTCCATCCTCACAGGCAGTTTTCAAAACGGACCTACCCAGCACGGACAAGGAGGTAAGATGACGGGTGTTACTGTTACTCGCAAGAACGTAAACCAGTAAAAAAAAACTCTTTGGCGGGCTCAGTTGTCAAGGTTTAAAACTTTAAACTACCCCGACCTGGCTTCCAGGAACGCTTCCTCGCTGGCTCTCGCTGGCGCTGAGTGCGACCTGCGGCCCAGGGGTACCAGCACCATGTGGGCAAGTTCCACGTGTCCATCACTGGAGGGACTGCAGGACACGCTGGGACTGCCAAAGGCTGGAATGAGGGCCACTCTCCAGTGGGAGGAAGCCTGTGTGTGGACGTGTCAACAGAGCCAAGGTACACGGTGACACGGCAGGTGGCGCAAGAGTGTGACCGGAACAGAAGAGAGACAGGCGCGTGCTGAGGGCACGGGGGTGTTCAACTCGCTAACAGTGGCAGGGTGGGGGGCAGGCAAGCATTTCCACTTCATGTGTCCACACAGGATTTTTAATGAGCGTGGATTAGTCCAGGAAGCAGAAAAATACAAACCAGTCATGATTAAAGTGTTCCTCGTAATTCCTTTAAAATTTCCCAGCACAATGGATGACGAAGCTATCATTTCTCTGTCCTTATTCATATAACGTATGAACCGGAGTAACCCAGCGTCCACTATCACGACCGGCCAGCAGAGTCTGAGTTTTGACTTGATTGTAACTTCCTTTCCAAACTGCTGCTCGGCCCAGGCATGGCGGGACGCCCCAGGGGTAAGAACCAGCTGCCTCTGCCAGGCAGATCAGAAGACCGCGGGGTATGAACAGATGAAGCAGCTGCAAGAAGTGGAGGGTGAGCCCAGACTCGCAAGGACTGCTCTACCCTTCCCAGAACAATCTTTCTCAAAGGCCAGAGGTCACTGACTTCCATGTGTCCGAAATTTACCAAAGTAGCCGAGGCTCACCAGGGCCAAGGAACCCAGTACGGGACTGGAGTGCCTTTGGATCTGAGAAGGAAGATGGCCCCGAGGGAAGGAGGCATGGTAATGAAGGACCAAAGAAGGGACGCAGTGGGGATGGCTTGCAGGCCACCGCTGCCATTCCTCCACCATGACGCCCATGCCCGTGTCCTGCCCTGCACAGCCTCGACCTCTAGCATTTCTCTAGGGGCTGGACACTGGGCCCAATACCCCTCACCAGAAGATAGGCTGGGGGTCCTGGGCCAGCGCTGAGTGACAGTGAGCAGATCACCAGGAAAGTGGGGGCAATTGTGTCTTTAAAAAGAGTGGGGGCTGGCAGGTGGCATAGCGGTGTCACTAGACTCCCACATGGCCAACTGTGGTTCAAGACTCAGAACCTATGCTTTGAAACTCACGCTGGGCGCAAGTGCGTGCCCAAGATCTTGGGAGAAGGGACTGTGGGGTGGTCATCCCCGCGGGGGGTGATTTCTCACTTTTCCTCAATGTCCCTGTCTCTCTCTGGTGAACACACATGCCCTAAAGCAAAAACCTCTATATAAAAAAAGAGGGGGCAAAAGGACCCCCCCCCTAAGTCTCTACTCAGTCACTCCCACACTGGCGGGGCCGGCCCCACGCCCACGCCAAAACAGGCAGGGGCTGCATGGGAGCTCCGAGGCAAACGGTTAGCCAGAGCATCTGGATTAGCATAATCGCGGGGACGCTGGCCAAAACCAGACGGGATTCCCCAAAGTAAATTTCTGTGTATTCACGCCTAATCTTCCAAAGTTGTGTAAACGTTTTCTACCATCCCCCATCATTTGCACGGATTTTTGTGAAGTCCAACGTAATTGAGAATGAGGTAGGTAGCTTCTCTGTCCTCGCCCGCCGTCTCTGGTGACCGTCGAGGCCTGTGCCGGGGTGAGAGCACTTGTCTCCGGGCAAGGGTGGCACTGAGGGCGGGCACCCGTGGCTGGCGCAGCTGCTCAGTTGGCTATTTTCTCAATCTCGTCCAAATCATCCGTGTCCAACCTTTCTATCTTCTTATCTGGGGGAAAGACGTGACGAGGATGGACATGGGTTGCCACAGAGACACAGCCAAGTCGCCTAGGGAAGGGACAGCCCAGCAGGGAGGGAGCCCAGCCCCTGGCCCTGCCTAGGAACATGTGTCTCTCTCTGGGTCCCCTGTGACCCTTCTGCTGACCCCAAGGGCTTCCAGGCGCGGGCAGGGGGCCGCAGGGACCCGGTCACAGAAGGCAACAGGGGCAGCCCCGAGCCCTGGAGCCAGGACGTGGGGAGACTGTCACCTCAGTCCCTGAGGCTACCTCTAGTGTGCTCCCTACAGACATCCCCGAGGCAGGGAAGGAGACGGGTGTGCACAGGGACAAAGGCCTCTCCTGGGACCCAGAACGCCCGCCCTCCCTGAGGCTGCACCCTCGGTGACTCACTGAAGTGCTCCTGGATCCTGTGCAGGATGCCCATGCTGTGCTTGCTGTCCACCATGTTGACCGCCAGGCCCCGCTTGCCGAAGCGCCCGGTGCGCCCGATGCGGTGCAGGTAGGTCTCGTTGTCCGGGTTCCCGTCTTTGTCCACGGGAAGGTCGAAGTTGATGACGACAGACACTTGCTCCACATCGATGCCTGGGCGAAGGGGAGTCGAGACAGACGCGGGTGACCGTGGAGGCCGGGCTCACTGACCCCCATCAGGGCTACTGACACCATCTCGGGATCAGGAGGAGAGCGTGGGACAGGCCGGCCCTAAGACAGTCAGGCTCCCGAGAGGGCACAGATGGGCCCGCAGCAGAAAGCTGAGGGGGAGCTTTGGCAGGTGCTGACAGAACGACAGACTCGGGCAGAAAGCCCTGTTAGACACGAGGATCTGGAAGGACACTGGTGGGGGCCCGGGAAGAGCAGGCTCTGTCCTCGCTGGCCAGAGGCCTGCACGCTGCCCTTCCCCCACCAGGACTGCCAGGTCTGCAGCAGTGCCCGTCTCCGAGGGAGACCCATGCGGGACTGTCACCAGCAACCCCTCTGACCTCCCCGAGGCCATCTGAGCTTCCCGGTTACACGGATCCTCATGGAGCCTGAGGCTGGCAGACCAGGACACGGTCCCTGCTCACCACGGGCACACACGTTGGTGGTCACCAGAACCTTCTCCTTGCCCTCTCGGAAGCGCTCAATCACCGCAGCCCTCTGCTCCACCATCATCTCGCCACTCAGCAGCGCCACCTGGTGGCCTTCCTTCGACAGCTCTGCTGCCAGCCAACTCGCTGTTTTGCGGGTCTGGGAAGGAGAAACAAAAGCACCTACAGAGACTTTTTTTGGGGGAGAGAGATGTTTGCTATAGGGTATGTGTGCTTACCAGAGAGACAGAAAACAAGAAATCACCCCACAGGAGGATGGCCACACTGCAATCCCTCCTCCATTCTCCTCTCAGGATTTTGGGTATGCATGCCCATGCACCTGGCGTGAGCTTTAAACCGCCGGATCCGGGACTTGAACTGTGGTCCATTATGTGGGAGTCCAGCGACATACGCATTACGCCATCTGCTGGTCCCAAGATACTCTTTTATTTATTTATTTTTTTAAGGAGAGGTATTTGCTACAGGGCACGCGCACTCACCAGACAGACAGAGAGAGACATAGAGACAGAAAGCGAGAAATCACCCCCCGGGGAGATGGTGACGCCACAATCCCTTCTCCTCCATTCTCCTCTCAGGATCTTGGGCACGCACACACACATGCCTGGCGTGAGTTTTAAGCCACCGGGTCCAGGACGAGAATCACAGTCGACTACGTGGGAGTCCAGTTACATAGCCATTATGCCAACTGCTGGTCCCCCTGAAATACTCTTTTTGATCTGGAAGACTTGTCTGAAACTTAGTATCTGAGGGTTACATTTCCTAAAACTGCCAACCTGATGCAGGACAAAATGAAGTCACAATGTCAACTGGTTAGCAGTCCTACATTTTTATTTTTTTTAAAAAGTAATTTCCTTTATTTTTATCATTATAGTTATTTTCAATTAGTAGTCCTACAAAAACATTTAAACTGAATATAGTTCCAACAGGAGAAAAAGATCAAATTTCCATGACTCCTAGCCTGGACACTGCACGATGCCCACTACAAACAACAAAAAGGGGAGCTATCCATTCTAGTGAGGCAGGCTCAGGACGCGGCAACTAAATTTAACAAGGGATCCCTGACTGGCTCTTGGGTTTAGTACATGACAAAAGCAAAAAGAAAAAAAAAAGTATATATATTTGCTATAGGGCGCGTGTGCTCGCCAGACAGAGACAGAGACAGAAAGTGAGAAATCACCACCCAGGGGGGACGGCCACGCCGCAATCCCTTCTCCTTCATTCTCCTCTCGGGATCTTGGGCATCCATGCACACGCGCCCAGTGTGAGTTTTAAGCCACCGGGTGTGGGACACAAACTGCAGTCGACTACATGGGAGTCCAACGACATAGACATTGCTCTAACTGCTGGTCCCTATATATATATATAAATATATATATATATATTTTTTTTTTGAGAGGTTTTTGCTACAGGGTGCGTGCAGTCACCAGAAAGAGAGAGAGACAGAAAGCAAGAAATCACCCCCCCCAGGGGGATGGTCATGCTGCAATCCCTTCTTCTCCACTCTCCTCTTGGGATCTTGGGCATGTATACACACATGCCTGGCATGAGTTTAAGCCACCGGGCCAGGGACTTGAACCACAGACAACTACACGGAAGTCCAGCGACATGGCCATTACGCCAACTGCTGGTTCCGTATAAGAACTTTTTTAGCACAAGCAGAAAAAGTGGGACCTAGGCTGGCTCTATAACCTAATGGTTAGGAGTCAAATCCCACATGACTGATACTGTTCAAATCACAGACTTGGGGGTCTGGAAAACATGCCAGACATGTACATGCCAGCCCCAAATCCTGCCATGGTGGGGTGTGGTCACACTAATCTCTTCTCCTTTAGTGCTCTACCCTGCTGGGATTTAAGGCAGGCACACACATGCACGCGGCTTGTTTTTCAAGCTGGTAGATCTGGGATTCAAACCTCATAGCCATCCATGTGAGATCTGGCTCCTCAACCACCAGGTCGTGGGGCCAGACCTATGATTAACCGACTTGTTAAATTTCTTATTTTCTTTGCAAATAGCAGCTGATTTTCTTGGGGTTTCCAACAACATATCAACTACATGTAAGATATAAAGTTCAGGACTGTTAGCATCCTCTGTGTTCGCCTACATAGCTCTAAGAATTGTACTATTCCTAAAGAAACAGTTGTACATCTTCATAAACCACTTCCTTTGCTTTATTTCTTCTTTTTTTGGAGAGGTTTTTGCTATAGGGCGTGTGTGCTCGCCAGAAAGACAGACAGAGACAGAAAGCAAGAAATCACCCCCTGGGGGGATGGCCATGCTGTAATCTCTTCTCCTCCATTCTCCTCTTGGGATCTTGGGTACGCATGGACATGCGCCCAGCGTGAGTTTAAGCCACCAGGTTCGGGACTTGAACCGCAGTCGACTACATGGGAGTCCAGCAACATAGCCATTATGCTAACTGCTGGTTCCAACCACTTCCTTTCTTGACGTACAGTGGGGACCAGGTCGTTCTCAGCCCTGGGTGGGAGCTGGCTGAAGGAGAGGCAGGGCCACCTGGCAGGCTGCTACTACTCACATGGCAGAAGATCATGGCTTGCGCGATGGTGATGGCTCCATACAGGTTACACAGGGCCTGGAACTTTTCGTCCCGGTTGTTGCACAGGACATAATACTGCTTGATGGTGTCCAGGGTCTCCTCCTCACGCTTCAGTTTGATGACATTGGGGTCTGGGACCACCTTCTGGGCAAACTTCCACACAGAGTCTTCGAAGGTGGCAGAGAACAGCAGCATCTGGCAGTTCCTGGGCAGCATCCTGTCAGGTAAGGCCAGGCATGTGGCG